TCAAATCCCACCACTGACACATACTGGCTACTTGGTCTTTGGAAAGGTAACTTCTGATACTGTAGTGATATCAGATGGAAAGAGGGCCAGTAAACCACAAGGATCCCTGCCTATGCATATTAACTTAGAAAACCACATATTATTTATATTCTGTTGTATTTGGATATAAGAAGACCTAGGTTCAAATCCTGCCTCTGACATTTACTGAGTATTTGACCAGGGGCACATCACTTTACCTCTCAAAGACTCAGTTTTCTCATCAGTAAAATAGGGATCATAATAATTACAGTCGTTGTCAGGCTCAAATGAGACAATGTGTGCAACACAATATACAACATGGTAAACATTCATATACCATACAATTTTTGTGATCCTAATGTCAGCGATCCTCAGGACCAGGTTTCAGCAAAATGCCAACAAATTACAGATCGTACAGGTAGATTTCCATCTTGGGGACTATCCAACTTCTGTATAACGTGCCCAAGATTTCTTCAAGGAATATTATTCATTACTCTTCCTACGTTTCCATTGGCCTCTGACACTCTTATGGATGGATACAACTTATTCACAAAACCACCACAAACAACCTCGTCATTCTGATCAACTGCAAATTGATTAGCTGATCCCAGAGTCAAGGAGGAACCTTGGAAGGGCAGCTTCTAAAGCCGACAGGTATTTCAAGTTCAGACTGATGGCTGCCCGTTCCCTGTTATCTTGTGCCTTTTTGTGTGCACTGAAATATCCATCCCATGGGAGCTAAGTGCATGACCTGGCAGACCTCAGGGGGTTCCATGTCAGTCAAGCCAAGACAGATCTGCTTCCTCCCAATCCCACACACAAGGTCTTCCTCAGGGACATGGGAATCGTTCTTTCCTGCTCACTAGACAGTGGTCACAGGTCATCACCGCCGAGTTAGAAGAGGGACTTCAAAGTCGATAGTCCATCTAGTTCAACCCTTTCTTTTTAACAGACGTGTAGCCTGTGATCAGAAAAGGCAAAGAGATTCTCAAGTGGCTTCCAGCTCTAAATCTACAACCCTGTAATCCCTCGCTGCTCTCAAATTTTGTGATTCAGCATCAGCCTGGAGTCGTGATAAATTTATTTGAGTTAAAGCAAAGCAAGTCCCAATTCCCACTCACTATGGCAAAGCACTGACTGGCACCTGGACCACCAAGTCACTGAAATATATTGAAACCACATGATACATGCTTACAGAGTATTGATTAGTGTGAACACACCAGGGATTATAAAGAACTAGTGACAAAATGTTTCCTTTCTTTTAAAAAATAAATATCAGTGAGACGTCTTTTAAAAAGTTAAAAGAACAGACTTAAATTCCTATGGATTTTTCCAGCTCTCAATCTAGGTGCTGTTGGTATACTCAATAGAAAGCTGGGAAGACCTGGGTTTAAATCCCTCTTCTGACATACGGTGACCCTGGGCAAATTGCTTAACCTTGAAGTACCCCAGGCAACTCTTTTTTTTTCTTTTCTTCTTTTTTTTAAGGCAGTCAGGGTTAAGTGCCTTGCCCAGGGTCACACAAGCTAGTATCTGAAACAAGATCTGAACTCAGGTCCTCCTGACTCCAGGGCCAATGTTCTTTCCACTGCACTGCCTAGCTGCCACAAGGCAGCTCTTTAAGACTGTACCATCAAAGCAGTTGCAGACCTTCTTGAATAGAGGGACTTTCCTTTACAGAAGTTCCTGAGCCAATGAAATCACAGGTGTGGTACTACCAAAAATTTTTTCATTAACGAAAATAGTTAATGCAAGTGATGTTCATGGTCCAGGATTCCCAATGCAATATCCTCAGTCCTGAATGCTGTGCATTATATATAATGGATACTTAGCAAGTATTTCTTGGTTGATTATTATTGATTATACTGTTTTTCCTGATCCCAAGTACCTAGAGTTGACAACAGTTACATAGTTTAGTTTGCCCAGGCTTTGAACACTGGAGATGCTGAATGAAATTGTCTGTCACCAATGTTTTAACAGATTTGCCTGTCCTTACAAGCCAGGCAGGCCTGGACAGAAGTAGAACATGGAAGATGAGAGGCCACACCTCATTTAATAGTCATACCTCTGGTCTTAATCATTTGGGGTATTGGCGTTGGGTGGAATTCTAAGAAACAAGGATCTCTGAAGCTTCTCTGTGACCTGTAGAGTAGTGAAGGAACTGTGTAGATCATTGATTATAAACCCTGTAAAAGGATTTTGGTTACCTATAGAATCTTTTAATTCTTCTGGGGAAGAAGTTATGCAGAAAATGCCATTGATCAATTTTATTCCTATTTATTATCCCCTATTCAAGGAGGGAGTATGCAAATTTCTTACAGACCTAGGGCCTGGAGAGCTGTATTAGTTTGGTTGAATGATGAAATCTAATTAGACAGGGCCTCTTTACCCCAGAGGAAGGCAGCAAGGGTTAACTAGAATTACCAATGAATCCATTAAGTATAGCTTCTAATACCATAAGAATAATAACTCCTTTATCTCTATCTGGTCTCTTCCTGGGGTGTATATTTCCATGGTGGTTGGGATCTACTGATCTTGAATTGGTGCATTTGTGTAAAAAAAAAATTGTAATTGCTTCAGCTGCTTCAATATAAAACCCCACACACCCTCACTTTCTTGGGCCATTCAGAATCAGCCTATAAAACTCTGCATTCAATGTGTACTGCATTCTTCTCTAAAACCAGATCTGATATGGAAACTTAGGGCGATGGTGGTAAGGCAAAGATTAGTGGATAAATACACATACGTATTCAATATCTATTGTCTACCAGATTAGTTTATAAACTTGCAATAAACCCCGTAGTTAGATCAGTGTGAGATGCTATCACTATACTTGGAAATCTGGGACGGAACTGGAAGATAAGATTGGACTACTGGCATTTTGATCAAGCTCTCCAAACATGTGTTAAATACTTGTATACAAAACATCATACTAGGCTGAGGATACGAAAATAAGTACTATACAAATACCTATACTACAAAGTAAAGTGAGCTAAGTGTAAAGGAGAAATATGAGCAAAGGAATGTTGAGAAATTTGAGGAGGGAGAGCTCACTTTTACCTGGAGGTAGGGTTATAAAAGCTTTATTGAGGAAGCCTGATTGTCTTGGGTCTTTAAGGAGGGGTCTTTAAAACAGTAATGGAGAAGTCTACTGTAGACACTAGGGAGATCTTGAGCCAGAGCATATAGAGGTGGGTAGAACAAAAATTTTGGTATACTTTAACTGAAATGAAGACTCCATTAAACGAGCCATAGGAGGTAAGAATGGACAAGTAGGTTAGGACCAGATTGTGAAGAGTTTTAAACCATGATCAGAAGCTGATACACTAAGCATTGAGGAACACCTTAGTGTTTTTAGTAGAGTAATGACTTGGTCATAAAAATAGAAAATTGGGGACATTATTTTGGCAGTAATAAAAAAGTTAGAGTAGTAGGTTCCACAAGTAAACAAGAAGAGATGAATGTCTGAAGTGGGATGGCTTTGGTATAAGTGAAGAGAAGGGTCAACTGCAGGAGACATTGTATAGAGAGATGGCAAACTCAAAGCCAACCTACCTGCAAAAACTCCCCAAGTGTGGCAGAACAAGATTAAAATGTAATTGAGAAATGTTTAACAAAATAAATAAAAGTACAGTATGACATAGATGATGTTAATTTGTGGTTTTCTAAGCCAATATGCAGTACACTGGGATCCTTTCTAGTTAAGTTTGACACCACTGATGTAGAAGGAAGACCCTAGAAATTGGAACCAGTTAGAAGATTGGGATTCTTCTTCTTGCTAAATTAACTCTTTCCTAGTCTGAGAGGGCTTCCTGAAGAACATGGTCTCAGAACTAAACACTGAATAATAGGATGGTGGATTAGCTAAGGAGAGGCTTTTAAAATCATGGGAGAACAGTGGGAGGAGTGGCATGGCACTGAGCCAAAAACCAGAGAACATGGAGAAACACAGGAAAATTAGTTTGAATAAACCAGAGAGAGCTAGTGAGGAAATAATGAGCAGGACAAAGTAAAGACATATGTAGGATGCTAGAAGCCCAAATGTGAGAGTTTCATATTTTAAATGAGTAGTCACTGTAAAATACCAAGTTGGGGACCAATGTGGGTAGAATAATGTGTATAAAGACAACTTGTTACCATCATCAATTGAGGGGAGCAGTGAAAAAGAGTGGTTTCTCAAGTTCTGGGAATAGAAAAAGTGGCAAAATTTAGCAACTGTTTGAACAAGAAGGAGACATGACAACGAGCCATCTTAAAATAGCCCCAAGTTCCCATGCTTTAGTGATGGGGAAAAGTAAGACTTGAAAATAGTTGTTGTTGTATTGGTTATACATAGAATTCTCATTTAAAAGATTCTAAAAATGAATTGTTTTCTAAGGGGCCCACTGGTTTTAAAAATTGGGAAATGAGTTCTATCTTTGGGGTGATTATTTTGTTCTGTTTTGTTTTGTTTTGTATTTCTGAGACTGGGTCTTCCTATCTCACCAAAGCTGAAAGTGCAGTGGCCACGCTACAGGCATGATCCCACTACTGACTGGCTTAGGACCTCTGACCTGCTGTTTCTTACCTGGGCCAATTCACCCCTCCCTGGGCAGGCTGGTGGTCCTCTACTCTCAGTAGCTCACCAAAAGGGTACTTGACATAGCCACGCACCGGCCCAGCTTAGCTCATTAAAACTCAGAACTCCTGAGTTTAGGCAGTCTACTGGCTTCAGTCTCCCCAGTAGCAGGAATTATAGATATGCCTCCACAATTGACTCTCTTGGGTTTGAAAGTACAAGAGGAGAAGCCGTAACATCAGCATTCATCGGGGTAAAGTACTTACCAAAATTGCTTACAAAATACTTCTGGAATGCCCTTTTACTGCTTCAGCTTTCCCTTTTGTGAAGAATATTTTTCCTTCTGTTCAAAGATTATGATGACAGTAGAAATGAAATATAATATGAGAAACTCCCATGCTTAAATATTTCTTTATTCTTTTAGGCCTCTTTTTCGTGGAAGTTCAGATGTTGATCAACTAGGAAAAATCTTGGAGTAAGTAATAACCCAAGTGTTATGTCAGTGAAAATCACAGTGGCTTTCATCTGTTGTCCGTGAAAATAAGTGTCTATCTTGCCTCCATTTTCAAAAATGCTGTCGTTGATGGTGTTAGTAACTGTGCAGCATAAAAGCCAAGTCATATGTTGGGTTTGTTGCGGGTGGGGAGAGGGGAGCCAGTATTCTCTGTGGAGCCCATCAGACAGTGGCTTCTGTCCCTTTTTCCTGGAGGAGGTCTCTTGCCTGTGAACCAGCTGCCCCGTTTTGACTGTTGCAAATCCAGTCAATGTGTTTCCCGTTCTTACTCCCCAGCCATCATCACTGGGCAGGTTTAATTGATTTGTTAGCCTTTTGAGCATTTTCTCTGCCCACCTGACCTCCATCACTCCATCTGAGCTCTTCATGCTAAGGATGTCATACACACATTCCCAGCCTAGGAAGCTCTCTGATGGGTACCATATATAGGCTCTTGTTTGTTTGTTGTTTTTTTTTTTTCCAGAGAGCTGAACTAAGTCTCAGGAGGCCTGCTTTCTTGTCCTAATTCTGATATTACCTAGCTAGATGACCTTGAACAAGCCGCTTAATTTTTCTGTATCACATTTCCCAACTGTAAAATTAAAGGATTTGAATGAAATCATAGGATTGTAAATAAGGGAGATTAGAGAATATCCCATCCATCTCCCTCATTGTACAGATGTGGAACCAATGCCTTCCTTCAATTGCCAGCATTCTAGATTTAGAACCAGAAGGGACCTTAAGAGACCATCCAGCCCAACTCTCTTATTTTACTGAGAGAACCCTAGAGAAATCAAGCCTAAGAGATTCCTTCCAGTTCAAATTCTGATTCTAGCTTGTACACTTAGATCAAGATGAGACCTTAAGAGTTAAATTTTACACATGAGGAAGTTGAGGCCTAGAGAGATTAATTGATTAACCCAAGGTCACACAGTAAGTGACAGCATTGGGACTTGAACTCAGGGCCTTTGGCCCCAAGTCCATTGCCCTTTCAACCCAACCATGGTGGCCTCACACATACCTATTGTGTGGTGTTTTGCTAACTTTGAAGCATCTCCTGTGTATGTCTGTATACATGTATAGTGTATGTATACATGCATGTAGTGTGTGGTCATAGTCTTTTTTTTTTTTCTCTAGACTTGGGCACTTGCCGAACCCATTTCTAATTGGAAGGGAGTGGAGATATATACATAGAAACAGTTGGAGAACAGTTCAGCTTTGATCTCTGATAATTCCTGGATATATCATCTCACTGACTTTGGATACATATTTTTAATCTGTCCAATTGGAAAAGTGTCCAGCTTATTAACAGCAGGGCCAGAAGTATTCCAGTGCCCCCATTTAAATAAGTTTCCATCCAAAGGGACCTATTATGCAGGCCTGCGTCATCCATTTGCTTATTGGTGCTGTTCTCACAGCTCCATTCACTATCATTTTGCCTTATGATCTCGATAGGCTTAACCCTTATACAATCAAGGTTCAGCCTTATGTGGGGGGCCACCAAAGTGTGCAGTCCCACAGAGAATGTTAAATATTTTTGTAAGACTCACGAGTTCAGTGTAGCAGGCTTGAGAGTGGTATTCTCTAGACTTGGCCTTCTCTCTCTCTCCCTTCTTTGAACATTCCAGTATATAATCACAGGCATTTTACGGCTCAGTATGCCTCAAATGCATGTCTTCTCAATCAATCAACAGCATTTATTATTAACAACAACAGTACTACATGCCAAGCACTTTGGTAAGCATTAGGGATATAAAGAAAGAGGAAAGATGGTCCCTGCTCTCAGAGATGTCCCAGTCTGATGGAGGAGATGATGTGGGCACAACAATGTAAATAAAAGGGGTATGCGAGATAAATTGGAGGTGATCAGCAGAGGGAAGGCAGTGGCATTAAGGCAGATGGGGAAAGGCTTCTTGTAACAGATAGGACTTTACCTGAGACTTGAAGGAAGCCAGGAGGTAAAGATGAGGAAGGAAAGCATTCTAGGGATGACAGACAGTTGGACAGAGTCCTTGTATAAAGAGTACTAGAAAATTACATATGGCTCCCAAGGCCTCTCTGCTTAGAATTCTTAACCTTTCTTGTGTTGTGGACCCCCTTGGCAAGTTGATGAAGCTGATGGACTTCTCCAATATACTATTTTTAAATGTACAGAATATATAAGATTACAAAGGAAACCAAATTTATTGAAATAATTATTTTTTAAGAAGTTCATGAACCTCTAACTTAGAGAAAACATGGCCTTTCCTGAAACTGCATGTACTGAACACTGAAGACCTTCTGTTTTCCCTCACTAATGTCTCTGGTTACCTGGTGGCAGTATCTGGCTACCAACCTTTTAGTTTATTAGTCAGTTTAATATTGTTAGTGGATGAAGCCAATGAGAAAGACCAGAAAGGAAATTTGACAGGAAAGATTGGAGTCCTTAGGCTTTCAAACCTGCAAACAGATTCCCATTTTGGCAAATCCTGGCAGTTCTAGGATGCCAAAGGGAGAGGGTGGATAATGGTAAAGTTTTCAACAGTGTTTCTTTAAAGTGTGTTTTTGCTCCTTGGTGTTTGACACTGGCTCATAGACGATGATATTCTAATTATTACCATTAATATGCAGGCTCCAAAGGCCCTAACAGTCAAAAAAAAAAAAAAGGCCAATACTGCACCCTAGTGTCATTTACAATATACTTGAAAAATTCTTTCTCCCTACCCTCAGAGGCCCCCAGCGGTCCAGTCTGTAGAGCTCTGTGTACTATCAGACTTGCCAGGGTGAATGTCAGCTGTTAAAAGCAGCAATCAGTTGTCTCAGTGCTGCAGCTTGGTACAAGGTCCTGGTCATGGGCCTATCAGAATGTCACCACTCTCCTATATATTGGCAGTGGAAGTTGACAGGAGACTAAATAACTTTTACCACAAATTGGGGGAGAGGGAAAGAAAGCTCTGTTTAGGTATCTTTAAAGAGAGAAAGTAACTTGGTGAGTTTCATAAAATTTACATTTCTTTTAAAAACTCAAAAGTGCTTTTTTGAAAACCATACTCTGAGTGCTTTTCTTCTGTAACATGGTTTTAGGAGAGGCACCATGGTTTGATGGAAAGAGCCCTAGACCAAGAATTAGGAGAATTGGGTTCTGAGCCTTCCTCCTGCCACTGGCCTTATGGGGGATCTTGACAAGTCATATATTTCTTTTCTCTGTGTTTCAGATGATAATGTCCATAGATAAGTGGATGGATAGACAGATAGATGGATGGATGGATGGATGGATGGATGGATGGATGGATAGATAGATAGATAGATAGATAGATAGATAGATGTTATTGTTCTTTCCAGTAGATAGTGTATATAGTGACTAAAAAGAAAACATTAGGATCAGGGAAACCTGAGTTCAACCCCTTCTTCAGGCAACTTTTTTTTAATAATAAATTTATTTATTTATTTTTAGGTTTCAACATTCACTTCCCTAAAATTTTGAGTTCTGAATTTTCTCCCCATCTCTCCCCTCCCCCCACCCCAAGACGGCATGTAAATTGATATAGGCTCAACATATCCATTCATGTAAAACCTATTTTCACGTTAGTTATGTTGTAAAGAAGAATTAGAACCAATGGGAGAAACCATGAGAAAAAAAGAAACAAAAAAGAGAGAGAGCAAATAGTATACTTCTATCTGCATTCAGACTCCATGGTTCTTTTTCTGGATGTGGATAGCATTTTCCATTATGAGTCTTTTGGAGCTGTCTTAGATCCTTGCATTGCTAAGAAGAGATAAGTCTATCAAAGTTAGTCATCATACACTGTGTACTGTGTACAGTGTTCTCCTTGTTCTGCTCACTTCACTCAGCATCAGACCATACAAGTCTTTCCAGGTTTTTCTGAAGTCAGCCTGTTCATCATTTCTTACAGCACAATAGCATTCCATTACATTCATGTACTACAACTTTTTAAGCCATTCCCCAACTGATGGGCATCCCTTCAATTTCCAATTCTTTGCTACCACAAAAAGAGTTGTTATAAATATTTTTGTACATGTGGGTGTCCTTTTCCCATTTGTGTGATCTCTTTGAGATACAGCCCTAGAAGTGCTATTGCTAGGTCAAAAGGTATGCACTTCAGGCTACTTTCTAATGCTACACTGATGAAATCCTAGATCTAATAAACCCCTACAACTCGCCCCCTCCCTCCCCCCCCCAAAAAAAACCATTGTGAATGCCCTAACTATGAAATGGATGACCACATTGCTTGGTTTTCTCTAGACTTAATTCCATTAAGGAATATTGAAGAAAGTCCTACAGATAAGAGACTTTATTAAACTGGTTTTAATAATACATTCTAGATATCATTAGAACTGGTAGGTGATACCTTTGTAAAAGTTATTGGAAGAATAGAAGCTAGTCAAAGGCAAAAGGAGGGGAAAATATCTTAAAATTTTGAATTCAGAAAATATCCCCTCTCCTTCCTCTTCCATTGGCCCTTCCAGTGAATATATTCTTTAATAATTCACAGTGATTCTTAATTCTTTTGTTTTTAAGTTTTGTTTTCCTGTGGTGCTCAACTCTGTTCATGAATGCTCAGTCTTAATAGATGGCACACGATTGCCTACTCACATCTTTGAAATATCAGAGGAATTTCTTTGTCTTTTAGTAATTCCTATGCTAGACCTTGATATCCAAGCATATTTTCATGTAGTTTTAATCCAGTCATTCCTAATCACTTAAGTATACTAACACACACACACACACACACACACATACTTTTAAGTCTTTGATTCTTTCTTTGCTCAGCTTGTAATTACTTGGTTCAGCTGCACCTGAGCAAGGCCAAGTGTAGGGTGTCCTGACCTCACACTTGCCACAGGAACACACTTGTACAGGGTGTAGTCATAATGCCATTTGCTGCGGCTGCCAGGTAAGATCCAAAGGTTGGGGTGTTAAGTAAAAGATGAGGAGGAGGATAATCCTGCCAAGATCCCAAGAATAATGAAAAGTGGATCCATGAGAAAATACATTCCTTCATGAAAAAGCATGCTTCCACATATACATTTGGTATGCCCACACACACATGCCTGAAGACAACAACTTCACACAGACAACGCCATTTGTAAACTATTATTCTTGGTATGCAACCCTGATTTCAGAGAACTGATGACCAAGCATGCTCCTCATCTCCTGACTCAGGGTGGATGAGACACATGCTATTTGGACATGGCCAGAGATGTGCTGGAGCCAGTTGTTAAAATTCTCAGAGTGAATATTTATACTTTGGAAATCAGCAAACACTGCAGATTTTGATTTATTGTTTGCTTTATTATTTAGACTTAGGAAAGTGATAGAGAAAATGTTAATAACTCAGATTACATTTAAAAGTATGTCTTGCATTTTTGGAGAGGCAGTTGTTAAATATTTGCAACACATCCCAGGACATGGCCAGTGTGAAAATTTTTTTTGCTTCTCTGTGCTTATCTGTTACAAAGGTTTGCTGTTGTTAATGTTGTTTTCCCAAATGTGGGGAGTGGATGGGAAAGAAAACTAATTTTTTTGTTCATTAAAAAAAAAGTAATGCTTTAAAAAGTATTTTGGTTTTAATAACCATGAACCCAGCATTTCTCATCCTTAACAAGGCCTACCAATGCCCAGCTTACAAATCCAGAGTCTGTAATAGCAAATGGTTCTTTTCTGAGTTCCATGAGGCTTCTTGTTTATCCCTATTCTTTTTAATCCATAATGGAGCTAGCTCTTCATCAGTCAGCATAAATAATTTCCAAATAAGATAGCATCATATCACGTGTTCACGGGAGGCAGATTCAATGGCAGCTAGGTGGCGCAGTGGACAAAGCACCAGCCCTGGAGTCAGGAGAACCTGAGTTCAAATCCGGCCTCAGACCCTTACTAGCTGTGTGACCCTGGGCAAGTCTGTTAACCCTGATTGCCTCAAAAGAAAAAAAAAAGGAAGCAAATTAGTCCAGTTTTTTTAATATGGTATTAATTCACTGGCTTTTTGTTTTGTTTTGTTTTTGGTTTGGTTTGCTTAAAGTGAGAAATATTTCCTTCCTATAGAACTGATGTCCAAGGAAAGAGTATAATAATGAATGAACTCAGTAACAACAAATGAATGTTTCTTTATCTTACAGTTAATTCCACTTTATCTAACGGTTCTTTTACTTTGGAATACCAATATGTATTTCAAATACAATAGAATTTGTTCCTTCCTAAGAGTAATTCTGGGCACGGGATATGACCTATGCCATTGGGTTTTCCAATGATGCATCTGGATTTTTAATGTAATTGTTCTGGGGGTTATGGTCAGACCTCCCCAGCAGCTCCAAATTCATAGAATAGCATGCTGATGTCCAAAGGGGCCCTGCTTTAGTTGAGTTTGGGGGATCTGAACATTCATCATTGGTGTGATTGAGGAAAGAAAGTACCTCTGGGACATCTTCTCTTAGTCCAGCACCAATATGGTGAGCTTCACATCCTCCCCCTCCCCTCCCCCTCCCCCTCAAGCAGGGTACCACCAGGCTGCCTAAGGAGGGAGTGAATAAGGTACATGTCGGAAGCAGAACAGCCAAAAGCCTCCTACTGATCGTCTGGGGGACTGGGCCTGTGAGTGACCTCTGCCCTTTCAGCCCGGGCATGCTAGGGAGATCTAAATGACCTGGGGTGTTGGTCTCCATTTAAAAATGCACATAACCATATCTGAACATGTTCTCCCATCATTAAGTGTTTGCAGGTTTGTCCTCTGACAGTTGTAAATTTGTAACTTAGATGGTATCCCTTATATAACATACTCCTTATATGATATCTCTCACTAAAGTATTTTAGCACATTTATAATTCCCTGTAAGTATTACCCTCGAGTTTTGTCTCCTATAACCCCAGATACATACCCATCGTCTAGGAGGGCAATTTGGAATCAGAAAGGTGGAGCCAGAAGGGAACTCAGAAGCCATCATATCTAACCAGTTCATGAGAAATGAGACCCAAAGAGGATAGTGACTTTGCCAAGGTCACAGAGCTAGTATCAGGAGAGATCTGAACCCAGAACCTTTCATTCCAGAGTTAGTGTTCTTTCTTTCCACAGTACCACGCTACCTCCCATTTCTGTGTCCCTAATAGAAATGAAATTATTCCTGAAAACCTCCTTAATGCTCCCAAGTGGGCAAATCACATAATCTTTCTGGCCTCAGTTTCCTTATCTGTAAAGTGAAGGAGGTGGTCTAGAAAACCTCTAAGGTCTCTTGTAGCTTTAAGTTTATTGTCACCCAGTGCTTCGTTCTGAACATCAGACTACTTTCTTATTGGTCTTAAACTGGGGAGAGGAGAGGGTTAGAGGTGTATATCTGCTACAGCTGCAGCAGCATCCGGTTCTGACCAGAACTGACATTCATATTTGTCTCTTTTCCAGTGTCATTGGACTTCCAGGTGAAGAAGACTGGCCAAATGATGTGGCCCTTCCCAGGCAGGCTTTCAATGCAAAATCTCCCCAACCGATTGAAAAGTTTGTAACAGATATCGATGAGCTAGGCAAAGACTTACTTATGGTAAGTGGCCCCTGTGTGCGAGCAGGCCAGATCAGAACCACAGCAGACGTGCAAAGGGTGGAATGGACAAGGGCCCAAGGAACATGGGGGCTCTGGCAGAGCCAGGAGGAGAGGCAGCAGCCACGGTCAACTCTAGGGGGATATAGTGGGACTGCAGGTCCGGATTCACATGCCCACAGAGAAGTGGACTTCTCTTTTTCTTTTTAAATATGTAAAATGTCTACAGAAAGAAAATTTAGAGCTTCTCGGAGAAGGGCAATAATCGATTTGGCAGTCAGTTTCTGGGACGCAGCCAGTGATCACCCTTTAGTATTGGCTGCTAAAAAGAGTCGACTGAAAACATCTGACATTTTACCTGGAATCTCATGGTGGGGGGAGCAGAGAGGAGAAGGGTGAAGACCTTGATGGAACAGCGAGATTATTTAGCAGAACCTCCACACCTCGGGAAGCGGGAGAAGCGGCCAGTGCCTGGGGGAGGGGGACCATCGGCTTTCAGGCTCCACTACTCCCCAGGCTCAGTTTGTCCTGCCTCACCTCCCACACTTCCCTCTAGAATCGCCATCACTCAGAGAGTGTTTGCAACAAGGAATTTCTTTCCCCCACTCAAACAGTATTAACTCTGTAGTAACTTGCTGATTACCCTTATTCTTTTTTTCTTTTTTTTGGGGGGGGGGGGCGAGGTGATCAGGGTTAAATGTCTTGCCCAGGGTCACACAGCTAGTAAATATTAAATGTCTGAGGCTGGATTTGAACTCAGGTCCTCCTGACTCTAAAGCCAGAGCTCTATTCACTGCACCACCTAGCTGTCCCTGATTACCCTTATTCTTTTTTTTTTTTTTTTTAAGGCAATTGGGGTTAATTGACTTGCCCAGGGTCACACAGCTAGTAAGTGTCAAGTGTTTGGGCTGAGGCCAGATTTGAACTCATGTCTGATGCTCTATCCACTGTGCCACCTAAGCTGCCCCAATTACCCTTATTCTTAAGTACATTAAAAGAACCTTGGTGTCCAGAATCAGCACTCGGATTAAGTGACTGGGGCTGTGCCCCAGGGCCCTGAAGTTTAAAGGGGCCTGATAGCACTTATATTGTCAGCCAGTAGAAACCACTGAGCCTGGCACTTCTCAGTCTATCAACAGGCATTTATGAAGCACTTACTGTATGCCAAATACTGTGCTAGGGACTGGGAATAAGAAAGAACAAAAAACATTCCCTGCCTTCAAGAAATTTGCATTCTAATGAAGGAAAAAGCATGTCCAGATGTAAATAAATATGTAAAGATGAGATGGATAGATAGATAGACGAATAGACAGACATTGAATAGAGAGAATGAATAGATAGACAGTATAGAGATACAGATAGGCAGACATAGATGGATAGATGGACAGATAGATGTACTGGACAGACAGACAAAGATGGACTAGGTAATTAGATAGATCGATGGATAGACTAAAGAGATGAGATAGGATAGAAAGAATAGAGAGGATGGACAGACAGAATACATGTGAGATGGGATGATACATAGAGGGCAGATACAAGGCCATCTTAAATGGAAAGGCACTTGTGGTGGGGGAAGGGACTAAGAAAGGCCTTGGATCTAAGTCTTGAAGGAAGAAGCAGAAGTAAGGAGAACATGCCAGATTTGGGGGCGAGACAATCTGTGCAGAAGCCCCTAGTTAACAAAAATGATTTGTTAAAATACATCTCCCCTTTCCCTCGTTTAGTTTTTCCCTGGCTGATATCCAAGGTCTTCTTCCCAACCCACATCCTCTGAATGTATTTTCTGGGGCTTATCTCACATGCCAAAATGGCAGATCATAGCCCCTCCCTACCTTCCTTAGTGGGAGAATTCACGAGTTGCTGTGGCCAAAAAAAATTTGTCACCTGGTGAATGCCTTTTGGGTTACAAGCCTCTCCACACTAAGCTCTAGGGTATTAGAGTTTAGTATAATTTGGTATGGCATGGTATAGTATAGAATATACCTTAGTATACTGTGGTATAAACTCTCATTGCCCCAGGCGGGGGTCTAAGACTATAAGTTGGCTCTCTAGGCACTGAGCCATCCTGCCTCTCCACATTTATATATTAAATTATCATATATCATAAGTACACGTCCTCTCAAGGTCATGCCTTTGAAACACTCTATCCATTTGGACAGCTACATTCTATTATGTTTTTGTTGATGATGCTGCTGCTTTTAAAATCAACCTTCTAGCAAATGGTCTGTGGGCCTGGATTTTTTGGGGGGAGGGGGTAGTTATATTTTGATAACTACATTTCAGTAGAGTTGGTTTCCTTTATAATTCTGTGTACTTTATGTATCGAAAAACACAACAGAAAACAGTAAGAACTCTTGGTTGATTGTCACTCCATGCGCATTAGCAAATACATTTACACACATAGGTGTTGCGTTCGAGTTATTTGTTTTATTGGGATTTTTCCCCCTTTTTTTATTGGGATTTTTCCCCCTTTTTTTCTCTCCCCACAGAAGTGCTTGACATTCAACCCGGCAAAGAGAATTTCGGCTTGTGGTGCATTGTCTCACCCGTATTTCCATGATGTAGAGAAGCCTCATGAGAATGTGGACCCTCGGACATCCCCCAGCCAAAGCAGCAGTGAGGGGAACAGCGCTTGAGGCCACGGATTCTCTGAAGCTGAACTGACGACTGAGGGGGCCACCTCCCGGGGGAGGCCGAGCGGCTGCTGATCACTTCTGGGCTTCTGGAGGCTTGGCCTCTCTCTTCTGGATGGCGATTTGTTTCTCCCGGGAAACTGGCCGAGTTTACTGTTTCCAAATCAATGCAAAAGCAATTTTGAGCTTGATGTTTGTGTGTCTGTTTGTTCGTTTGTTTGTTCATTCGAAATACCTGGAAAAACGAGACAAAAACAAAACAAAAAAAAAAAAAAAAACTCCAGATGAAGAGAAGCTGCTGACCAGTTTTGCTGCCGTTTCTTTTGTCCAACATCGAATGCTGCCAGAGTGAAGTAGGAATGATTCAGTCACTGCCGATTTCAGATGTAATCTCTCTATAGCTGCTGGAGCCTGATTTGGTACTCTTGAGTGTGTGTAGGGGTGTGTGTGGGTGGGTGTGCGTGTGTGCATGTATGTATGCGTGTGTGTGCTTGTGGTCTCTTAAAGTGTTATTTTTTTAACTACGTAGAATAATTGAATTTTTAGAGGCTGGAGGGAATGGAATACAGATGCATCTATTTACTGAAGAGAAAATACCAGAATTAGGGCTTCTCCAATGAGAAATATGTGCCTGTGTTGACAACATCTCCTTTCTGTTTAAATGCAGTAAGTTTATAAGGAGTGAAAGTGTTTATTTCTACCTAGACAAAAGTGGATGCACACTGAAAAATTCATCCTTGTCTTTCCAATGCCCCTATGATTATCTTTAAGGAAAGTATTTCAAAATACGTAATATCCTCTGCCCTCTTTGGAAAGCTGATTTTATTCGATGCAAATCTGTTTTGATTGTACAACATAATTATTTTTCTCTCAAAACAGGTCCCAAAAATCATTTCCCTACTTATTATTGACTTCAGGAAATGTCCCTCTTTAAAAAAAAAAAAGTAAACGAAAATGGCAAAAAAAAAAAAAGAGAGAGCCTTTGTTTTTCTGGTTTGCAACTTTTAAACATTTTGTAAGGCCTCTGTTTTTAAAGCATTTCCTATTTTAGTTGAGAGAATCCTTCTTTTCTAGCTGGTTACAGGAATGCCCTAAGCGTTATCTCTACATGTTAACACTGTACTTTCTATAATGCACTGCCTTACTTGCAAAATGTGTATTGCATATTACCTCCTAGTGCCTAAGTACATTACTGCCAGCTGGTTACTTACGTCATTTTACACACTATCTTCATGTGTCAGACACACCTCTCGTTATCTATGGAATAAGATTGCAACTTCATTACCCTAACTCTACAACCTTATTCAGGCCTCAGTGGTCTTCCTCTCAAGGATCATACATCATGGTCCTGTGCTTTTGTAGCTTAAGGAGATGAGTCGGTTACACATGTCCCTCTATGCCACCAGCAAAAAAAATGTACAAACCAGTAGAGAAGATGGCTTGAACCTATAATTTAGTATTTTTACTTTGGTAATACAATATATTTTCAGTACAGCATTTGTCTTTCAAAAAGGGCAAAAAGAAAAAAAAACCTTTAACTATTTTTCAGGAATAGCTTTCTACTCTACAAAAGCAAACATTAGGTTTTCTTCCCATTAGTGTTTCCTCTTGCTCTTTGGTTCGGGTTAGGGATCCTTTATGAAAGGCATTCAGCCTATTCCTGGTTCTTAGGCTCTTGATCCCCCACTGCGAATGGAGATCTTTATATTGTGGCTAGTTCTGTATTTTCCTGCTTCTTCATGGTCCTCCACCTTAACCTTACGGATAGCTGCTTTCATGGCCACACACCCCCTCAGTCTTCTGCTCACGCACACTCTGTTTTCTAGTGACTAATGTCTGATAGCAAGAACATAGCCAACCAACCGTCTTTGGAGAAATAAGGTAGACTGTCACTTTTGCTTTTAGACTCTTGCTTTGAACATACACATCAGTTTAGATTATGTTCAGAGGCAGAATTATTAAAGAATGGATAAATACCAGCCTGAGTCAGACTAAAAGACAGCATGTATACATTTATGCTTTTAAAAGCATTATAGTATTCTTGAGAAATAACAATATGCAGCTTCTTGGGGTATGCAAATATATGAAACTATAGCAAAAGTAAAGGACATCTAGGTTTGAGGAGTCACTTTTTAAAATAAAAAATACATACACATAGTGGTTGGCTTCAGTGATACAAAGGATGAATTCTCCTTTGAAATAAAGTGAGGTGGCATCTAAGAAGAATATTTCACATGTTTTTCAGTATTTCAACATCAGTAACTGGGTTTTTGGCCATTGGCATTAATCCTTGAAATAAAATTATCTTGAAAGTGGTCTAAATAATACCAAATATGACCAGGAATGGTGCAAATTTTGCTTTTCTTTGGGGCACTGAGTTAAAACAAACAGGAGGACCTGTTTTATCCTATCATAAACTTGAGTTAAGGAACTTTCTTCCTTGCTACTACATGAGCTTCTAAGTTAGCCTCCATCTAGCCATCACTTAGGCAAAAGTTTGAGTCACAAAGTTAGCATGAGAAAAAACACAAGTGTGCTGTGCGCTCTTGTGCTTGTTTTTTAATTGGCTTAGGAAGTTTGCTTTTCCTTTCTAACATTTACCATTGACTTAATTTTTTAGTTTTTAATGAGATTTTAAAAAAACACATATTTTGGCCCAACATCCTTCCCAAAATTAGACCCTGGTAACACAAAATAAGATAAAGCAATTCACCTTCTTGTGTTATCCCATCAGTCAGGCTTAACCCTTATCTCTTCTGTTAATTCATATATTGGACCAGCAAGACTCTTTGGTCATTTTGTGCTTGTGGTGGTCACCTCCATGTTCACCATTTCCTGATTGAGGGTCCACACCAGGCCCCATTGCTTTCAAGGAGAGGTTTTTCCCAAATCCTCCAGAAAAGCACTGAGTTTTTACTCTTCTGGAAAACATTGTTTCATAGATCTTTGCTAATGCCAAGAAGCCAGGGACATATCAGAACTCAAAATACCCATTAAGCCTTATCTAAAAATCCATGTAACAAATTAGAAATACTTGGCAGATTGAAGCTAAGTGTGAAGACTCTTGTCGGCCTGGTGAAAAAATGTACACAATGTTTCCCATGTTACATTGAAAGAGAACTATATAATGTTTTATACTGGGTGGCCATTGCCTTTTGCCAAAAGCTTCTGTAGCAAAGTAAAGATAAAGAAAATACAGCACAGGGCAGAGTTTTATGGTTAGTCCTGGACAATTAGAGTGAATCAAAGCCTGGTGTCCAGTCTTACGAGTTATATGATATGTCAAAGAGGTAAAAACCTAACCTAAAGGAAAGAGGCTCACAGGAAACTAAGGCAAAAGGGATGGGATTCTCCCATTTTGTTTCTGTTCTGAAGTCAACGGAAACTTGGGAGTTCAAGGAGGAGGAATCTTGTGGGCAGACTCACCCCCTCTCCTCTCATAGTTTCCTTTTAACAAGCATGCATCTTGGATTTCAGGCCTTCTAGCCCCCAGGGGGCTCTCACCAGAAAAGATCAGAATTATCCAACCTAAGAATAGAATCTTGGCATCTTGTTAACTTGTAGGAGGTACCGTACTTAAGATCTCTAGTATAAAAAAGGTCCAGGATTACAACTGGAGCAGTCCATTTTTTATCTTGTTTGGTTGGGGGTTTTTTGTTTTGTTCCTTTTTTTATTGAGAAATTTCTCTTTAGTTTGTGACAGAAATATATCAATACCTTGCTAGGGAAATTCTTTTAGACATACCAGATACTTTTCTCCTTAAATTATGTATTTGGTATTATGGTTCTTGGTTACACACTGTGGACCTTCCGCCCAAGTAAATGTTGCATGCGGAGTGTCAGAGTACCAGTATTAGCAATCCCTGTTGGATCATAGAAACAAAATCATGTAGAACTTCCTAACAACACAGCATACATTAAAATTCAGCTTACCAAGGACAGCATTATTTCCTTTCCCTTCTTAGAAGATTCAAGTATTTTTGTATTAAATATGCCAGACCACATATCTTCAATTTCACTCCAAAGTGTAGCCCTTGAGGTCACATCAACTATATCAAAACCCAGAAGCTGTTAAATTGTTTGATGTGGCAGACGATGCTTAGAGGGACCACCATTGTTCGCCATTTTGGTTCATTCTTTCTTACGAAAAGAATTAACCTTAGAAAGAAAATGTCGTTATAGAATCTTAGGTACTGAAGGATTTTTTTTAGAGGAGTGAAACCTTTAGATTGAGAGATAAATAAGATGTCATTTGTTTAAACACTTTTGTAAAAATATGAGTTATAAAAACAATGGAGAAAGTTAGAGGAAGTTCAGAAGAAAAAAGGAAAGTATCCAGAGGCCATGTTTGTATCAAAGTATACATATTGCTAGCATGTTTTGTAAGAATAAGTTAAAATTCTGATGGAAACTCTGAATTTAGTATACTCTAAAGAGCTTTCTTGGAGAAACTGATCCTAGGTTCCAAGATGTTCAGTTTTTTATCATAGTTATCTTCATTCATTTAGTTGAGTAAAATGAGTCAGCCTGTAATTTCGTGGCCCAAAAAAAAAAAAAGTTCAAACTAAGCTTGTGGCTCGTAATTTAAAATGCTAATTGTAGGGTGGAACAACAATCCCATGGAAAAAAATTTGTTTTGCACACATACCACTGAGTCAAAAATCAGAAACCTTTCCATTTCTCAGCATGTACAATTGAAACCATTCACCACAGCATTGAAGCATTGTATTAATAAACTTAACAAAGTCTACAGGATCAACTCATCCCCAAATGGCATACATCACATTCTGAATATGGAAAGCCTTAATTAGCTTCCAAATTGACAATATCTTCAATAGACCAGCAATAATTGTGTTCCTTCTTAAAAGGGCAAGAAATTAATGATCATTTTCAAAATGGAATGTTCCATTTGCCTACCCGTCTTCTTTTGAACAAGAAGTCATCCATGCTATGGTAGATTTTTCAACCCGTTAGCTTAGATCTATATCTAGGTCTTTCTTAACTGGTTGGTATATATGCTACAAAAATAATAATAATAATAATGATAAAACTTCTGCATCTTTAGCAAACTGTGTAAAAAGTAGGATCAGACTTATAAATGGCATTATTTCCTCTCAGTCTAGTTTGGATTCTTAGGATCATCATTCAGCTTTTCAAAAGGGTTTTCTTTTTATTCCCTTTTAGTGAATTCACACTAATATTTCTTTCTTGGGTCTTCTGTTCTTCAGAACCGTTTACCTAAATGGCAGTTGAAAATCCATCCCAGCATGTCTTTAGAACTTTGTGTGTATGTGTGTGATTTTGATTAGTCCGTGATTTCCCTGGTGTGAATACAATCCAGTCTGCACCTTCTGATCTTCTTAATTCCCATCCATTCTCCCCTAAAATTTAACTGACATGTCTTCTGTGTACTTATTAGACACAAATTCATCACTGGCAACCTATAGCAGCTTAACTATATTCACCATTAATTAATGATAATTAAGTTATCATCTTAATTCCTTGGTCATCACAGTATTCTGTGATTCACAGAATCATCTAGAACCACTAGGAGAATGTTAGTATAACCTTAGCCATTTTAAGAAGAGCATGGGGGATATGAAAGGAAAGGGGAAATGTTCTTGTTTTGTTTCCTACAGACTGACACTAAGAGATATGAGATTATTCATTTTGTGCTAGCATATTCTCCAGCATGTCACTTTGGGGGAAAAAAAAATCTGGGAAATTCTAAACCTATAAATAAGCTTTTAAACACTGTCCTCTGCTCCAGTCTTGGTTTCATTTAATTTTTATCTGGTATTTGTTTTTCAAGATAAATAAAATGTTTGAAATCACCCAGAAATGGGTGGGGAGTTCACAATTACTTGTATAAATATAAATTGCACTTAAAGAAAATATTCTTTCTTTGGTCATTTAAGAGAGAGACCCTCCAAGTCATCTCTATGCCAGTAGGTATTCATTAATAAAAGAAGGCGCTCCCCACAGCATAGGCTAATTTTGATGATAATATAGCACTCTGCCCATTCATCTTGAGAGAGATGCATCTCAAATTCAGTACTTTAACATTCCTTGCTGTCAGGTAGCTACATGAAGGCACATCACCCTGAAGAAAGAGGGACATATGGGTGAATAGATCATGCAACAAAGTAATATAGAAAACCATTTTTATAGCATTACTGTACCATATGAGAGAAATCCCTCAAATATAATGGACAATAAGTAATTTTTGCATTGCAGTGTTCCAATTGGAATGTACAGAACTAGGGAGAAATATGAGATAGTTCATTTTCTTATCTATAATCTGTGAACATAACAACTTAGGAATTTGTCTATTCTGACATATACTGGCTCTGTGACCTTACAGGGTCATTTGTTTCCTCTATGCCCCAAGAAACTAGCTAAAGCTTTTAAGTTGTAGAACTGCTACTAATTTGTATCGGTCGAGGAAAGTTCTTCCTAGGAGCAAGCACATGGATGAAATCACAGATTCTAGATTGGAGTGGATCTGTGATTCATATATATGTGGTATGTAGGTAGGTAGATAGTTACACACATAGATTATATATAATATAGATTATGTATGTATGTGTATGATTACTCTTTCCCAAATTGTACCTGAGGATGTAATTTTATAAAAATGAATTTTTTGAGAAAAAAAGATATTTTTAAAAATTTCGACTTTAGAGCAAAGAAATAACTCAGGACTGGCACAAAAACCCGTTATGGCACATACGCTCCAAAATTAGTTCACCTTCCCCAGCAAGATCAATTTAAATGAAGAAAAGCAATTGTACTGACTTTCAGAATTTCCAGCCATTGCTTAAGTTCACAACTCTTGAACATGACCCAATCAAAAGCCACTTTTTGTTTATTTTCCTTTATAGAAATAAAAATAAGGTAATGACTTTTTAATATTTCTTGGGAAGTATTCTACATATGTCTTCCTTTCAAGTGTTTCTGATCTTCTGTAGGTGACAGACTTAAAGGATTGTTCAAAATCTACCATACTGTGGTGGATTTCCAGTTTCAATTCCAGAATGAAAGACCAAGGAAACATCCTTAGCTTGTCCAAAGCGGGTTAGGAAGAGGTCGAGGTCAGTTGTAAGCATCCAAAAGTGGCTTCCACCTCAAAGGCATTCAGGAGCTTATAGCTTATTAAGATGCATTTGCTGGCCATCTCAGTGAAGAAGTCAGTGTCTAGGCCTGGCTAGAAATTAGACCAACCTCCCATTCATCTATTTGAAAAAAGTCCAGCCTGAGCAAGATACCATGGGTGCCATTTCTGCCTCAGAAGCAACTATTGGACAATATTGGGGAAAGAAAAGCTGTCGGACAGTGTTTAAGAAAGAAAATCCTGCTTAGACTCCAAAGAGTATCTCCACAAAATTTATGAAGATTACTTTGAAGAGGTGTGGTTACTGCAACTCAGCCCAAGGTTTGTTAGTCTAGGAACAGCAGGTCTACAAAGTGAGCTTGCTTGCCACTCCCCCAAGAGAAAATGGCTAATTATAGGAAAGCTAGATTTCTTTTCACCATTCTCTATTTAGATGGCTCTTGCTTAACTATAAAGATGAACCCAGAAGAGTCCTTATTTCTGCTTGCTCCTTAGCTGGCCATGACATGTAACAAGTGAATTTTGCTTTTCTTCTCTTTCTTCTCTATCCCTGTCCAATAGTTAAGTATCTTTAAATGAATGCTTAACTACTTTGGCATATTTCTATGTACCTGAACTTTGTGGTGAATCACCAGGGGAAGATTCACATTGTTTGAGAAATGGATTTTCTTAAAAGAACCCACCATTATTTCATTCCTAAACTATTCTGTTGTTTTTCTATAGGATCTGCCTATGATCTTAGGTGAATGTTCTAAAGATCCTCTTTGTGCCCTTGGTTGAAGGCCCCTAGTCCTTTAAAAATATTCGCTGTGTTAGCAGAAGCTTCAATATTTCACTGATCCCAAAGCACTTTGAATTTGACTTGACATTTCAAAATAGTAAAACCTGGTTCCCCAGGTGACAATGTGGTAATGACCACATTGCTCATACTCCTGAATCCACCCCGGATTCCATTTCCACTCTCGAACCTGTGTTTGTGATGATGTGTACCCATATATATCGATAGTCCTTTACTTGCATGTATTCATGCATCTTGCTGTAATGAGTAAAAAGTGTCCTAGTGAATCCATAGGACTCTGGGACCAGCTGCCCACCTGTGGGCAATATTTTCTAAAAGCTGTTCAGCATTCAAAAAGGTATTTCTACTATCAGTCTTCATTGTTATTTATTTCTGGATTATACTTGTCATGTGAAAATACAGCTGGAGACAGAAAATCTTAAAGCTTCCTGTTTTATACTTCATGTGCATTTAATGTTAATTATCATTGTCAAAGGGGCACCTAATCTAGATGGAAAGAACTTAAAACTAAGTGCCTGAGTAAGCTGCATACCTTTGCATTAGATAAGTAAAATGGACTTGGTTGGATAGAGTATTTTACACCTGAGTTTCCTTTCTCAGATCAGCAAAGGAATTAACAAAAAAGACTTTGAAATGTTTTTGCTGTCTACATATAGCATAATGTTAAAAAAAAAAAAGTCAAAAAACAAAAACTCAAGTTAGAAAACCATCCCAGGTGCTGCCTTAATTTAGGAGCTGCCCTAGATGGCCATCTGAGAAAATGCCAATCGGGGACAGATGCTTAAGTTGGTGCCTTAGTTTGCCTGGGTTTGTGGGAAAAGCCTTCAGAATCATAAAGTGCCCTTGTATGTGTTAATGGAAACAGATAATATTGTTGACAGAAAGAGCTCTGAGTGAGGCTACTGCAGAAGGAGTTTCCATATGTGATGGATGTTGTGTCTTAGGGTTTCTGCAATGTTTCAGACAACAGAAGGTCTAAGTTTCAAGGTCTTAGAGAACTCAGATTTGTACAGAGGTAGTTTTCTTTGGTTACTAAGAAGAAAAGGATTGCAAGTGGAATGATGTTCAACCAGAATTTGGCAACTAGTAATACCCAACATTTCAGTAACTTGAGAGATTTCTAGCATTTCATTTTTGATCTAAAAGTTTGAAAAGCATGCTTTTTAGTTTAGAGATACAGTATGTGATAAGAGAAGCACAATATTGGTACCCATGAGAGTACCAGCACTAGAGATTTTTATAGGATATTTGTTCTGAGATGTGTAGAAATACATTTATACTGTAAAATATATTTGGGGTTTGGGTTATTTTGTTTTTACAATTCCACAAGGCATAATCAAAACTATTTTTTCAGGGTTATAATACTGTAGGTCACACACCTAAGCTTATTTTTTTCAGTGTATTCTGATCATAGATAATATTGTAAATGTTGAAAAAAATTCTGGGATTATACACTTGAATCGTTGGTTTCTGTGTTTGAAATTGAGGTTATTCTGGTAGTGTCTAGGGCAGGGGTCCTGCTTGCCAGAAGAGACTTCTCTAATCCCCTGCCTGACCCGCTGCTTGGCCAATGCCTACCACACTGCCAATCTGGCAATCCTGTATCTCTTTCTTCATCTGTTCCTTCCACTAATCTGGGCATCCTTCATGCCCCTTTCCTGTGCTTCCCACCATTGTCTTGGG